TGAGTATAAGGCAGCGCCAGGTTCACTTAGTGGGATTTCCACATCCAGTCCTGGTGTGACCTATGAAGGATGTCGTGTGCCTTGAAAAAACATGGTCTAAAGTCTCTGTGGTCTACAGCACATGGGCTAGGTCACCAAGGGCTGCATAGAAACTAGGTCAAATGTGTCTAATTAGACACCTATTGCCAGGAGTATTTTCCCCTTGGGTTCTAGATGAGTATTGTCGAGCATTTTTTTTCTTGATGGGAGGTTGATCCGCCCCACCCCCACCCCATTTTCCTACTAATAGAAATGTACTTGCCTTCTTATGTCAGCACTTCTTATTATTGGTGCCCCTGGGCTGACTCCCACTCTGAGAGACCCCATGGGACAGAGTGGAACTGCCCCCTCGGGTTTCCTAGGCTGGGAGCTGGACAGGAGTGGGTTGCCTGCTCTTTCTCCCTTGGGGCTCCTGGGTGTGTTTGAACCACCTTTCAGTTACAGGCTGACTGCGGAACTCTTTTACCACCAGGGCTCCTCATGCCATCACCTTGGGAGTGCTGCACATGAGACCCGGGAGGGTCCGCGGCTACCCCTCCACCCAGAACCAGTCCTCTGGGGAGAAAAACACAAAGGACTCTCGTAGAGGAGGACCCAGAGGGCCAGTTGGTGACGCAAGGGGCAAAGGAAGGTTCTTCTGCAGCCACTGGACTCTGGGAGTTCTCCCCTCCTAGGAATGCACTTGAGCCAAGGATCTCACCCGAGTTAGTAATGAGCAGAGTTGGAATTGAACTCAGTTCTTCAGGTGAAGATGTAAGTAAAAAAATATCACCATTGTGGTTTTCATTCATAGGTGCATGGGTTTATTCCAAACAAAACGTATTGAAGCATGTCTGTTGTCAGTGGATGGCTGCAGGCAATTCTCTTCAGTGATATACTTGTCTTCGTTGTATTAGGATGCCTCCCAGAAACAAACAAACAAACAAATCTCCAATAAAAATAGCGGCTTCTGAGGGGATCTACTGGGCCAGTTAAATTCAACCCAGAGAGGTCACCTCATAAAGTTATGGCAATCGAAATGATAATCTTGATAGATTTTCTTGAAGGACACAGGGCAATCATGGGTGCTTATTATGAAGAAGTTTTAAAATAGTGAGAAATTTCATCTGTGGTCAAAAGGCCAGGAAAGTGTGCTGAGGAATTTTTCCCCATTAGGGAAACTCACCTTCCTGTTCTTCAAGGGTAGCGAGCACCATCCTGTGAGGATTTTATTTGAAAGCCTGACCCCATCCACCCTCAGCCCTGATCTTGTCCCTTCAGACTTCATTTTGTTCCCCAAACTCAAAGAACACTGTAAGGGAACATAGTGGGAGTCCCTAGAGGATGTCAGAAACTGGCTTGTGGATGTGGGCACATTGAAGAGTACAGGCTTTTTGGGGAAGTCCCTGATGTAGAGCCGCAAGACCAGGGTTTGATCTATGATTTTCTGTCTGTGTGTCAGCCCTGGTAGTGCTGTTGGGTAAGCACTGGGCTGATAACCACCAGTTGCTCCCTGGGAGAATGTTGGATTACTATCTACTCCTATAAAGACTGATAACCTTGGCAACCCGACCGAGGCTTCCTATGAATCTTGAATTGACACAGTAGCAATGGCTTTGACTTTATCTACGTGTCATTGTTGATAAAATCAGTGATTTTACTCATAGCTCTTCCTATAACTTTGGGGTCATACCAGGAAACTGTACAGGTTTTCAATGGAAGGGAGGGTGTTTCTTCCCCTAAATAGGGCCTTCATGACAGAGCTAAGGGTCAGGGTTTTACTACCTAGGTGGGAACTACTCAGGGACTTCAACTCCCTGCTATTGAGTCGGTGCCAACTCATAGTAACCCTATAGGACAGGGTCCAACTGCCCCTGTGGGTTTCCGAGACTGTAACTCTTTACCAGAATAGAATGCTCTCTTTCCCCTAAAGAGTGGCCAATGGTTTCAAACTGCTGACATTTTGGTTAGCAGCCCAATATGTAACCCACTAAACCACAAGAGTGGTATGATTAAGATCCAGTAGAATCACATAATAAAGACAGTAATAATGTTAAACAATACAGTATGTTTAACAATGGGGTGCAGTGAATGATTTGATAGGACTCTTCTAGCCATAGTCTGTAACTCCCACCAAGTGACTTTCCGTGGTAAGAGGTGAGGAAAGATGCTGATGGAGTGTAAGGTTCCTATGTGAGTGACTGTTAACAAAACTAACTATACCTGTGAAAACATGTAGCCCTAACACAGAGACTGGTCAATTTTGCCATTCTGCCTGGTATCAACGAATCCTCATGTTAGTCTGGGTAGACTAGGGAAACAAATTCATAGAGACACTCAGATGTGTATAAGAAAGAGCTTTATATACAAGAGCACTTGAATATTAAGAAAACACCCAGTTTGATATTAGCCCTTATGTCCAATACTAATCTATAAATTCTTCAGACTCATGCAACACATGCAATGACGCTGAATGCAGGATGATCACAGGCCAGTGGGTGGAGTCTTGTGGATCCAGTGGCGGTGGAAGCATCTCAGCAGTGGTAGGAGACTTCATGTGGTTCCTTCAGCTCCAGAGCTCTAGTGTAGCTCCATGTGTCTTCTCAACAGCAATGTCTCACAGGGAGTGTGTGAGTGTCTCGCCTCCAGCAAGCTATTTATCCCCTTAGTGCCTCCAAATGAGATCATCAGGCTGTAACCTGATTGACAGGCCAGAACTCCACACCTTCACAAGTTGACACCAGATTTTGTAACTACCACACCTCTCAATAGCAGGGAGGGGCAATCACAGCACCATCAAGAAATAGAGCCAGAAGTGGGGCATGTCCTTTGGATCAGATATCTCTCTGAATTAAACCTCCCAGATCCAGGAACAGAAAGCGGTGGCAGAGGGGTGGCAGCAGCAGACCCAAGAGTTAGAGGCCTAGACAGAGCAGTGTGCTTCCTGGCCCACACAGTGGGCAAAACTGAGGGAGGGCCTTTGGGCAGGAGCATTGCTAGCAGAGTGAGGTGCCTCCAGGCACTTAATTGGGGAGCTGGGTTTGCCGGCCAACAGAGCCAAAGCCAAGTTGTGTTGAGGGTATAGGGGTGTCAGGTGCCCTTTAGGTGTTTACTGACAGCAATAAAAGAGCTCTGTAATATTGCCAAAATAGAGCAGAGGATAGACCAAGGTCAGGGAGAGGCCTGCCCTCCAGCACAGCAGAGAACAGATTGGCTTGACTAAAGAATTGGTCTTGAACATTTCTGATCCTGGATTGTGAGCTGTGACTTCCCTAACAAAGCCCATACCTGTCTTATCTGTGACCTCTGTGTGGCCATTGCAGTGAATTATCAAACTTGGCCAGAAGCAGAGAGTACCTGGGAGGGATGGCTGGTGTCAGATTGCTGAGGAGGTTAGAAGGTGGGGAGCCGTGCGAGATCCCTGCCTCATAGGAACTGGCCTTGTCCTGATGTGGAGATTGATGATCTTTTCTCCTTGTGAATTCAGAGGAAGCCCATGTCACTCCTCCCACACTATTTAACAAATAGCAATAAAAATACAGATTCTTTGTCTGTGTGGTGTCATTGCAAGGCCAGAGCTTTGTGGGAGGAAGAAGCTTAGCTGAACTTGGTGGAGGTGGGCCAGGGCAGTGGGTGTGGCCAGCCCAAGGTGGGGCTGTGTCCCCACAGTGGTGGCTCTGGTTGAAAGGAAAGGGCAGACATAGAGCATCCCTCAGGGTGCCAGGGCTTACTGGGTAGTGCCCAGCTCAGTTTCCTCCTCCTCTCTGGTTCCTCTTCCTCGCTCCGCCCCAGCCGCTGTCGCCCCTCCCAGGTCTCCAGACCACAGAGCCGTCTGCATGGCTGAGTGCAGTGCAGCGAGTGTCTGGAATTCGCTGGACTTGCAGGCGTGTGTGAGGCCTGGGCCAGTGAAAACTCTGTGTTTTTGGACCAGATGGATGTGAGCCACTTAAGGCACCCTGAGACACACTCCCTTCTAAAACGAGGGCGTCTTTCACTTGATTTGGGGGTAGGTCATGTTTTGAGATTTTGTTCATTGGCTTTTCTTAAATCCAACTGGACCTTGTCACCTGGATGTGGGAGACTCTGGCGGGCAATCAGGGTGTCACAGGAACCCCCTGACTGTGGCCTATGAAGGGGAATTAGGGCTCTCTGGTTAACCAGAAGCCTACTTTACATTAATAACCAGGAGGAGTATCCCCAGGACACAAATGATTTGACAGAATTGAAGCCAAGTTTTCACAGTAACCACAAAGAAGTAAACAACAACAAAAAATTATACAGGCAAAAGCAAACCCAAACCCTTTGCCATGGGGTTGATAAATCACACACACACACACACACACACACACACACACACACACACACACAGTACAAAAGAAGTCCGCCTTGGCAGTAAAGAGGAACAATAATGGGATAAGTCACACAGAAAACAAAAAACACAATGGCCAACATGAATTCCTTCTTTATTGTACTTACTGTGACTAGGAATGGGTTAAATGATCCTCGCGAGTCAGAGATGGTGGACTGGATTTGAAAACCACCCATGTGCGTGCTGGCTATAAGAGACATACCCCAGGCACAGAGACGTCGAAGGTTGGAGCGGAAAGCATGGAGAAGGTGGGCCAACGAGGTTGAGCTGCCCCTTCTACCACAGCCAAGCCTAAGTTTTGCAACTTTGATGCAGCTTCTCTCTCTCCTCCTTCTGCCTGGGCTCCTTCCTGCTGGAGCGGTGATCCCCTGCGGAGAAGCCCCGTCTGGCGGGAGGAGGAGCCCGGGTCAGTCTAGCAGTGGAGAGGTGAACAGGGACTGGGGCGACTCAGCAGGGAGTGGGGGAGTGTTTGGGCTATTGTGTGTCACACTGAGCTGGCTGGCTGTGTGGGCCCCATCAGGGGCCAGCTCTTCCTGGCCTTCAGATACCTCATTCCCTCCTGCGATGCTCAGAGAGAAGCCATGAGCCTCGAAGAACACCGTACTGTCTTGTGATGTCACCTCTGGAATGTCCTGAGCATTTGGATGACCGCATTTGGCATCAGATCTATACCTGGTACCTCACGCTGGTATGGCTTTCCGTTGAGATAAAGCAAACGTAGGGAGACAGGGACGTAGGCCATTTCTGCTTCGAGGACTCGGGAAGGCTTTTGGGTCAGCTAAGAGTGGTCTTGATTTCTGTTCAGAGACGGATGACGCCTCTTAGTGACATCACACCTTCTTTCAGACCCAGGTTTTGGTAGTGCCCACGATGACCCAGAGGGGAAAAAAAATACAAGACAGTACTGTGGTTTTCAGGTGTGAACAAGAGGCCCCCGGTGGGGAAGCAGATAGCTTCTTAGTTTCTCCTTGCCACAGAACTCCTGGCCCAATTTTACAAGAAACAGAGATAACAGATCTGAAAATCTAGAGAATCCAATCAGTGTTTCGGCATCAGGTAGGGATTGTTTCAGAGCGTGTGGCCTGGCCATGTTAGGCAGACTAACACTCCTCTTTCTAAAATCCCACACAGTGTGAGGGACAAGGCACAGGCATCCTGGCCGTAGGTTCTAATTTCAGGGGGGCTACCAGCCAGCCGTGTGTGTCTAGGGAAGGCAGCTTTGCCACTCTTGGACTAGAGTTAGGCCAGGCCAGTCTATAAGACTTCTGATGCTTCAGGTTTCTATGACATTCTGAAATGACCGTCTAGATTTTTTTAGGGCAGAATTAGGACTGGGTCTTGGAACAAATTCATGAGAAGATCCTGGGCACAAACCAAGGCCTACAAGATGATTCACCAGCATCAAGAGAATTAAGCCCCGCTGTGTATCAGTGGCGGTGTCCTGGCGGATAAGTGAGTGATGAGTTGGGCTGCGAAGCACAAGGTCAGCAGTTCGACACCACCCACCACTCCAGGGGAGAAAGATGAGGCCCTACTTACAGGCATCTACTCCTGTAAAGACTCCCAGTCTTGGGAACTCACAAGGGCAGTTCTACCCTATCCTACAGGATCACCCCGAGTCAGAATTGACTCAGTGGCTGTGAGTTTGGCTTTTTGGCTAAATCAAAGAAGGAGCCCAGAGGTTAAGTCCAAGATTCAAACCCAGCCGGTGGCTGTGAGGGAGAACAGACCTGGCGATCTGCTCCTGTGAAGATTACCCCCTGGGAACTGTCCCATTCTGCCCTGGCTGGTCACTGAGTGGGAACAACAACAGTGTATCCAAGAGGAGTCCCTGGGTGAAGGGAGTTAGGTGCTTGGCTGCTGACTGCACGGCTGGAGGTTGCGGTGCCCCCAGAGCCGCCTCAGAAGAAAGGCCAGGCGATCTCCTTCCACACACTCATCCTCAGAAAACCCCGTGGAACACAGCAGTTCAACACTGACCCACAGGGGCCGGTGAGAGTTGGAGTCCACTCCATGGCAGCTGCCACTTATAGGCTTTAGGCAGAAGGGCGAAGCGAAGGGGTGTGCCTGCTTTTCTGGGAGATTCAGGTCGAGCCAGGAACTTAGTGAGTCCTGGCAGGCCTGAAATGCCCAGGCTCCCTCCTGCTGTGTCCTTGGAGGGTGGTTCTCTTGACTGGGTTCCTACGGCAGTGATGTCACAAAGGGCAGCCTCGCTTCCCTAGTCGTCCTGTGTGAAGACCATGGCGGGGCAGCCCCGGGGGCTGAAATGTAGCGTGGAGGAACCCAACACAGAGGTAACAGTAGGAACGCTCCTGCAGGCTCCGCCGCCAGGGGCATCTGTATTATTCTTATTTTCCTAAAGTTAACCCTTAAGAACGGTCACAAAAAGGACACGTCTTAGAAAGAAACCATTAGCATCCCAAGTGGGTGGGTTCTGATTCCTAGACACCCCATGAGTATTGGGATCAAACTCTGCTCCACAGGGTGTGCCGTACCTGGTTTTTAGGAATCGGATTGCCAGGTTTTTCTTCTGCCGTGTTTCGGACTTGAACCGCCAACTTTCACCTGAGAGGGCAAGCTTGCGTGCATCAAAACCAGTGCCGAGCTGGTTCTGAATCATGGTGACCCTATGTGTCGCAGAGAGGACTCAGCAAGGTTTGCTTGGCTGTTTGCTTTATGAAAGCAGCTTGCCTGGTCTTTCTTATGCGGTGCTTCTAGGGAGGGGGTTCATACTGCCCACATTTTGTTTAGTTCAGTGTATACACTTTGTACCTTCCCTGGACTGTGATTGGCGTTATGATCTTGTTGTTCTTTGCTTAGAGAGGGAGGTAATTCAAACAATTAGACACATATGTTCGGGGGAGAGAAAGCTCTATGAAAAAAGAACATTCTGGATCTTTGTTTTTATAGTCTCCTAGAACAGCGGTTCTCAACCTGTGGGCCGCGACCGCTTTGGGGGTTAAACTACCCTTTCACAGGCGTCACCTGATTCATAACAGTAGCAACATGACAGTTATGAAGTAGCAATGAAAATAATTTTATGGTTGGGGGGGTCACCATAACATGAGGAACTGTATGAAAGGGTCGTGCATGAGGAAGGTTGTGAATCGCTGGCCTAGAACTTTATGGAGGTGCCCTGGCTTAGCCATCTGCTGCTAGCCAAGGATGCGTGCTTTGACCCTCGCTGCTGCTCCACATAGGAAAGTGTGGCAGTCTGCATCTGTAAAGATAGCAGCCTCCGAAACCCCATGGGCCAGTTTTATTCTTCCCTATGGGGAGGGTCACTATAAGTTGGGGGTGGGAAAGGCTGGGGCTTTGGTTGGTATAATTTTCTAACTTAGCCAGAACATAAGGTCACTTTCTCCTGTCTCCCCGCGCCCCCCCTCCCTCAGGGAACCTGTGTGAAGTCTGATTCCCTTGATTCACTGTCAGTTTGGCCACTCTACCTTCAACAGAGCCGTGGTGGTGCAGTGGTTATACATTAGACTGCAATCTACCAGGTCAGCAGTTCAAAACCACCAGCAGCTCTGAGGGAGAAAGACCAGGCTTTCTATTCCCACAAAGCGTTCGTCTCTGAAACTCACAGAGACAGTTCTCGCCTGCCCTATAGGACCTCTGTGATTGGTATCGACTTGGTGGCAGTGAACTTGGTTTTGGCTACTTTCAGCAGAGGAGTCCTGGTGGCATCGTTCTTACATGTTGGGCTGTCAGCCATTTGAAACTACCACCAGCAAGGCTTTTTACTCCCATAAAGATGGACAGCCTCAGAAACCCACAGGGGCAGTTCTACCCGTCACATAGGGCCGCTGGGAGTCAGCATCGACTCTGAGGCAGTGAGTCGGCACCTTCAACAGGGGCATGGTTCCCTCGGCTGCTCCTTGGCTCCATGCATTGCTAGAACACAGGCACAGCATTCGAACTCAGGGTGGGGGGCGGATAGGAGCTAATCATGGGATCAAACAATCAAAGAGGACTTCTTCCTGTGTATGCTTAGCTAGAAGTTCCCTCCCAGCTCCCAGAAGTAGGCCCAACAGTAGAGAGCACAGGTCATAGCACAGGTGCAGACACCTGGGAGCTATGGGGCATTCATAGCTTCCTCCATCAGGGCTGAGCATGACTGGTGTTCTGACCAAACCAAGCCAAACCAAACCAAGCCAAGTAAGACACCAAATCTGGTCTGTCAGTTCTGGCTCACGTGCCCGCATGCATTACACAGAAGAACGGCTCCCTAGGGCATATTCATAGCTGTAATCTTTATGGGGCTTTCTAGGAGAAAGGCCTAACCCTCTGCTCCTGTAAAAATCACAGCCTGAAATATGCTATGGGCAACTCCACTCTGTCGTATCCAGCCACTCTGAATTGGAGGCCCACCACCACCACCTCCACCACCAACACCACCACTAACACCACCACCTCTACCACCACCACCACCACCTCCACCACCTCCACCTCCACCACCACTTCCACCACCTCCACCTCCTCCATCTCCACCTCCACCACCACCTCCACC